TCAGTGTTAACTTAGCCGTGTGCCAATAGTCATGGTTTATGCCCTAGGACAGGAGTAGGCAAGAGGAGAGCCGTACAGGAAGCATTTAGTCTACTGTGGAGCGGGGAAAACATTTCAGGAGAGAAGGGAATTGTGAGAACTTATTGATACTCATTTACTATCTCCAAACGGCGGGTTTGGCCGTCTGCTCTATTCAAGTGAGACTGAAGCTAGAGGCCTCTGTAATTCCTCAAGCAGAATGTGCCACACCTTCAAACTCAGAAGAATACAACTCCTTCAAAAGTAAATGTAAGCAAGATTCTTTAATGTACTCAGTTATTCAGAGACCCTCATTATCAGTGCTGCTCCACTGAAAACAATTTCTTTTTATTTTCTTTTGGTACCCAAACTACCAAGACTTTTAATTCAAAGCCCCGAAGAAAAAGTTAAGGAGCAATGCACCTGACATTATATGCACATGTCCTGTATTCAGCCTTTAAATCACACACTTCTAAGGAGTCCTATGTGTTATTGTCAGTAAGTTTGCTACTACTGTACCTTGATTTTTCCTATTCAATATTCAACCTGGGGCTGAGGATGTGGCTCAGTTGTAGAGTACTTACAAAGCAAACACCAGCCCTCGGGGTTTCATTTCTAGCACCGCAAAAATAAAAAATAAAATAAAATCCAACCTGTAGGCATGTTCAGAATTCTTTATTATTTAAATACAATGAAGCATCTGCTTTGAATTTTTGCACAGTCCTGTTGCAATATAACTGTGATGAACACACGTCACTCACCGTATACTGCAAACAGGAGGGGGTGGGGCTTACTCTTCTCTGGTGTTCAATCTATATATCCTCTGTATGATTCAGGCTGAGAACCTGCTCAGCCGTTTCAGTACATGGAATAGCTTTCCTATCACATCTTTCTGAAGTGATCAAGTTTTATAGATGGACTGGAACGGACTTAAATTTGTCCCTGCATATGAAAGTCTGTCCAGATCAGATGGAACTGTTCAACAGCAAGGCCATCTTCCTTGATGATAGAGTCTGATGGGACCTTTACATTTCAAGTTCAACATTATAAAATAATAAAAGCTAACAGTAAATGTACAATAGACCAAAATATTAACTAGGGAAGCAGGGTTCAAGGAATCTAACACATACAGTAAAATATGTAAATAATTGGGTGGTGGGAGAGTGATTTGGAGAAACAACTCCACTCCTAAAAGGGCATGAAGGATTAGTCAATATGGGTTGTTTCATATTACTTATGTATAGACCAATCTAGTGATACATTAGATCTATCACTGTATCTAATAAAGAGACCCTTAAAGAGCTTAAATTACTCACAATAGGCAATTGGAAGGTATAAAATATTTAAATTGAGATAAATCATATTCCATATTATTCCTTAAGTGGATCAATCGTGTCAAACAATCTGTAAGTAGTATATTGAACTATCTAAGAGGGTCAACATTAGCATGTTGGTGATGTAAAAGTATCACAAAGTGTTCATTAAATTTTTCAGAAATTATCTTATTCACGGAAGCGACCTAACAATCGCAACATGCAGAGACAGTTTATAAAATAAGACTACCCTGGTAATCTTAAAAACAGGGACTTTTAGATGAGCACACATAGAGTTCACAGGGGTGAGACCGATGTTCATGCGCCAAATACATGGGAGAATCAAATTTAAGGGCACTTAAACGGAAAAGGTAAACCACTGAGAGAGAGCTGGCAAGGTGATGCAATGGATGAGGGATGGGCAGTCACCGCGGACAGTAAGCAGATGCCAGAGTGCCAGGGCACAAGAAGAAAGGTGCCACTGCCCATGGCCATTTCAGGAGTGCAGCAGCCACAGCTGACTGAGGACAGCAGAAGCAGTATGTTTAACGGCCAAAATGGACAAAATAATCTGCTAAGATCCTGATAGATCACAAGCGCGTAGGATTTCAGTCACTGGAGGCTTCACTAACTAATTACAACTAACCGCACCAGAACTGGTGATTCAGAAACCGAGGGAATGCAATGAAGGGGGACAAAGGACACAGGAAAACTGAAATGTCTGGGGAGTTGACCAGAATTGACTTTCCCATTTGGCCACAAAGACTGTTCTTAAATCACTCTTACTGTCCAGGGAGCAGGGCTCTACGCAACAAGATCACTAAACCTCACGGGGATGGATAGGAGGCAGAATCACGTGAGCTTTGACAGCAGGTGCTGCTAGTGCCCAGCACAATGAAAGGACTAGAGAAAGAGCGTGCACTTCTACTTGAAGAGGGGCACTGGCTTTTCACCCTTCTGCACCACAGGGTTTAAGCCCTGCTCAAAAAATTGTAGAATGACCTGACCTCCAATTCAATTAACCCAGGGCCAGGGAGGGACGACAGTGACCCGGAGCTGCTAGCTTACCCCTTTCCAAGGAGCTGGCCGGCCTGCTGGATTGCTCTAATGACCGCAGATTGTCCTTCCCATGGAGGAATGTGCAGTTTATCTCCCCGTAGCTCCTACCCACGGTCTCCTCCTGTCCTTGGAACAGAGAGAAAGCCACAAAACTGTGTGCTCTGTAATCTTATGTGCAGGAAGTGCACGTATTCAAAGATACACGGTAGTTGGTGTAGTTAACCTTCAAGGCTTTCCTACTGGCCACATGAAAGCACCAATCAGAACACTGCCTCGCTATTTAAAAAATAAACAGAAGCAATTTTGCCTGTGGCTATACAAACTGTCCTTAGATGTGCCAGAGTCCCAAGCCACTACCGGTGCCTCACAAAGATGCCAGATAAAATGGTCTCTCTTAGGCAAACATCCTAAATCACAAAACAGGCTGTAGAAGATGACCCTTACAAACATCCTAAGAAACCGGTGCCTGTACAGTGTCTTGAACACGACAGGAAACAGATAAATGTCTGTGGCATTAATTCTACTGCAGTATTTATAAAGTCACTAGATAGATGATCCACACGGCTAACTGCCAAAGAGAATATGAATAATACCAACAAAAAAACCCACAAATCAAAAAATGGCACAGCTGAATTTGTTTGGTAATGTAAAAGCAGTCATTTTAAAAAAGATTATCTACCAATGTACACATGTGTGCTTCTTCTGTGTGAACATATGCCATGTTTGTCTGGGTGCCTACAGGGGCCAGAAGGGGTGTCAGCTCTTCTGGAGTTACAGCAGGTGAGAACTGTCTGACATGGTAGTGGGAAACAGGCTCTGGTCCCTGGAGAAGCAGGAAGGGTTCTTAACTGCTGACCCATCTCACCAGCCTACAATAGTTGTTTTTAGCTTCATTTTTTTCATTTTATACCAGAATGGGAATTTATTGTTACAGACCATGAGCTCTGACAGTTTCTCACAAAATATGGATATATATTCTTTTTGTTTGTTTCTTTTTGGAAACATGGTTTCACTATGTAGATATGGGTGTCCTGGAACTCACTATGTAGACCAGGCTGGCCTCCAACTTAGAGAGCCACCTGCCCCTGTCTCCCAAGTGCTGGGATTAAAGGAATGTGTCCCTATACCCAGATATATTCTTTAATAATATATGTTTTTAAAATAATGTTATCAATGTTCTCCTAAGGAATTTATAAACTTTTCTTCAAAGTCTTATATATATATAATTATTGAATATATTTCTATAGTATCATGACAATTTATTTCCCCTTCTATCTGTAGCTGGTTGTATAATTCATATTAATGTGACATGTTATCTGAAGGGATGGTTCTCTGCCTCAAAGTGTATTAATCACCTTCTTCAAGAAATGCTTCCTCAATGTTGGTCAAGAAATGGTACCTTAAGTAACACAACCCCAATGCTGAGCATGGGGAGCTGCAGCAGGGGAGAGCAGGAGCAACTCCATGATCTGGGCCGCTCTCAGTGCTAAATGCATAAACCGAAAGCCTCTGATTGCCCACGTTCATTTCATTTTAAGGCACAGACCAAAGACTCAGAGGATATTTTATACAGATACTGTAATCCATGCACAAAGCCGTAATGGTCAGACTCACTCATGTGTCTATAGCCTCCCCAGTGTACGGAAAGCTACCAAGGCACCACCTAGCTGAGGCCTCGGAGCACTGAATGCTACCTTGTCGTTCCCACTGGAAAATCCAAGTCCTAGAAAGAGCGAGTCATTTGTTTTACGTTGTGCTAACTGTCCACCAACAGAGAGAGACTCCCAACTACAAACTCGGGGCTCCACCTGGGGAATGTGGAGTCAACGACCATACAGACAAGAAAACAGAACAAAACCCTGACTCGTGGACTCGTGAAGTGTTTCTCCTCACGGGATGGGATCTGGCCTTAGCTGTGACAACTACTATAGGCAGTGGATTGGAAGGAGAGGGAGGGGCATTGAAAAAAAAATATTATAAAACATTCTAAATGGGAAGAATGTGGATTAAATGCTAAACAGTGCTGGAAGTACCTAATACACAGACTCGTGGTTATAAAACTCAGAGAGAACGTTGAAGTCACCTGTTCTTTTCCTGTTTCACAAGAGAGGAAGGTACAGTGACTGACAGGTGGGGGGACTCCAGAACAGCCGTCTGCTCTCTGCTCACCAGTAGCAGAGCCTGGCTCTTCCAGTCTCATTCTCTGGTTCTATTTTCTACTCAGAGAACCAAACACAGCCCAGATGGAAAGAAAGGAAGGAAGGAAGAAAGAAGTAAGGAAGAAAAGAAGGAAGGAAGGAAGGAAGGAAGGAAGGAAGGAAGGAAGGAAGGAAGAAAGAAAGAAAGAAAGAAAGAAAGAAAGAAAGAAAGAAAGAACGAACGAACCGTGAGCAGCGCTGGGCCAGCCACATCCTAAGTGTAAAAATGACTGATAATTTACATATCATTTAAAGCAACAGGGATTTTTTTCCTCCCTGTAAGGAAAGCAGTCAGAGTATATCTCAGGCTTTAGCACTAAGGTTAGGGAGGTCTAAAATACCACGTTTTCTTCCTGTAGATACATGGGAAATATGTCTATATGGTTGAATGCTATTGCTGGATCAGATATGAGTACATTCAAAGACAGAACAATTTCTGAAAAGTGCCACCATTACAACCACTGGGAGCGGAAACCCGAGAACTCACGGCTGCATCATCCTGTAGAGACGCAGGTCCTTCAGCCTAGGAAGACTTCACCCCTCGGGCCTCTGCTCCACTCTTCCAGAACCTTCAGAAACTCATTGTTATATTACTTTAGATGCGATATTTATTTCCACTCTGAGATTTAAATACTAAGCAATAAAATATCTCTGAAGTTTAAAGGACAAGCCAATCTAAAAATGGCTCAGCTTATAAAGCCATTTGCTACTTGAACAATATTAATTTTTGCATTAAAAAAATAAATAATCTAACTAGACTTTATTGTACCTGTCAGTCTTTTAAAAGACTTCACCCCTCAATTGAAATCTAATGTGAAATTCTTTTTAAAGGCAGAGTATAAGAATCTCTATACAATATTGATTGCCATTCCATAGGGGAACAGGAAGCCACTCGGGTGACAGGAAGCGCCCGACAATAGAGTTTCCTTTCTTATTCGAAGGATCACGCTTCTGCCTTAACTGGGACTGATCTCCACAGCAAGAGTCCATGATAACTGGGGGGATTCCATTCTGTGCGTTCTGATCAGTCTGAGGAAGAAGATGGTTTTTTCCAGAGATGAAGGGCTGCTTGAATCCTGAAGTGTAGTCTGGACTCCAAGGAGTAATCTTTGTAGTTGTTTCTGAAGACAAGGAAGAATAAAAGGGTCCAGTCAGCATTTCTCTGGCTAGCAGGGCACCACCACCTTCCTCTGCCGCCCTCTGATCTCGTATTTACTTTCTAACTTCAACAAGTGTATCAGCGGAGCTGAGTCAAAAGCAGATTCTTTCTGTGGGGCAAAGTGAACGGTGAGTCTGCATTCTGGGTTTCTAGAAGCTTCCCTGGTGGTGATTTAAAAGGTTATAATTTTGAGTTGCAATATCCTAATTACAAACCACTACTATAACAAGGTCTTGAGGTCATGGCATATTTTGTTAAGTATTGCTGAGTGGTTCAACTTCTATTTTTAGAGAAATGTTGAGGTAGGTTAATGTAATGCAATGGTCATAAACAATCCACTATTCAACAGAAGAAAAGTACTCCGGAACCCACATGAAGCTACTCTAACAAAGACAGCAGGGGTGCCCTGTGACCATTTCTTCCAGTTCTCACGCAAGTTACCAGTGGTTTTGTCACTAATGACTCAAATTAGTGCAGGGGCCACGAGAAGGGGTGAACACAAGTGACGAGGCTGGGGTGGAATGCATCAGTAGAGAAACTGCCTGGCACACCAAGAATCTGGGGTCAATCCCCAGAACCATAGAAAAGAAAAGCAGGGCAAACAAAATCCAAAAATTACTTGAAAACCTGACTATAATGGTTTAAATGAAAATGACGCGATAGGCTCATAGGGACTAGCACTGATAGGAGGTGTGGCCTTGGTGGAGGAAGTGTGTCACTGGGAGGAAGTGTGTCACTGAGAGGAAGTATGTCACTGAAGTCTTTGAGGTTTCAAAATGCTCAAGCCAGGCCCAGTGTCTCTGCAGTGTCTTCCGGCTGCTGGCAGACTCCAATGTAGAACTCTCAAGCTTCTTCTCCAGGACCAGGTCCGCCTGTGTGCCACCACGCTTCCCACTATGACAATAATGATCTAAATCTCTGAACTATAAGCCGACCCTAATCAAATGTTTTCTTTTATAAGAGTTGCTGTGGTCATGATCTCTTCACAGCAATAATTTAAACCATTCATGTTGCTAAAATCGGTAGGAACTGGCTTCAATTTAGGCCTCCTGATTTCAAGCCCTGCCTTGGCAGACAAGGTAGCTGATGCCTCCTTTGAAGTAGTGTTTCTGTCTTTTTTAAAACACACTTTCTTCTTAACTTTGATGAGTGTTAGTATGATGTAGTGTTCACAGATTAAAAAGAAGCTCTTACTAAGATTTACCTAAGAACAACTGAGTATTCTCTCGATTTCTGGCCGCTTTGAAAAGCCCATGCTGTGAAGAGGAACTGCAGACAGAGATGGTCCTGAAATCACGGGAAAGTGTTTATGTTTACCCTACAGGTATTGTCTGGGTCCATGGTAGCTTTGGGTGCTTTTCAGTGGTGAAGAAATGTCTTTCTGTGTCACCTGCTGCTCCATTTACACTAAGTAGTGCTGACTATGTGCCAACTGTGCAAGCCTGAAGTAGCAGTATGCACAGTGCGGTGACCCCATAACTTCCTGGGGATGCACAGTGCAGAGACCCCATAGCTTCCTCTGAAGATGCACAGACACTATAGCTGAAGCACTAGCTGTCCTCATGGCCAACAAGTTACCTTGTAAAGTGGCTTCTTCCTACATTGTTCATTTCTCTTTTAGGACAAACTTGGGGGCATCCTGCCCCTAAAGGTTTCTTCCCCCTACTTCACTCTATTCATAGCAAACATCCCTAACCTTACAATAGCATAGCCGTCAACTCCACTCCTCTCCTCGTCTCCCTATCAAGGTCACACGTGGCCCCACGATAGCTTTGGTCTTCCACGTTGCTCAACTTCTTGGCAGCTGCCCTCATTAGCAACCATTTTCACTATTTCCAAGTTTTCGGCTTTTCATATTTGAATGCTTCTTAGTTGCTAACTAGCTCTAGGAATTCAGAGAGTCCATCATTATTATTGGATAAGTACACGATGTACTGGTGGGGAAGGCACGCCACAGAACCTGTGAGGAGGTCAGAGGACAACTCTATGGAGTTGGTTCCTTCCCCTGGTTGGTTCTTTAAGTAGGTTCTGAGAATAGAACTCAGATCTTGACTCTGTGCTATGTACTGCACTTAACTGTTTTAAACAACCTTGAGTTGTTTAAAAAAAATTAAACAACAGCAACTTACTACCCTCTTAGTCTTATCACGGCCCTTGTCTTCAAAATGTTCCAGGCACTGGTCAAGACCTCTATCACCTGCCCTGTGGTTTAACGACCTCAGGAATGACAGCTTTGACCAGCATGCTCTCTGGGCTGGGGACTTTGGTTTGTATTCATGTGGTCCTGACTTTAGCACTGAACACACCTGCGTATCTCATCGCCAGCTCACCTTCTCCATGTGAATATCTGGCAGCCACCTCCAAGTATGATAGCCCTGAGAAGTATATCTCTTCACAAAAGCTCATTGCTCTGAGTGTTTGCCAGTCAGGAAAAAGCTTCACTGTCCATCCACCTGCTCAGCAAACTGCAGCCACATCCTGGGCAACATGCTCCTATATAGCCCTAGTGATGGATCGTTCCAAAATTGCCTTATTTATGCGAATGTCAATGGTACTGTCATCTCCTCCAAAGAATCTCAGCTCAACATCAAGGTGCCCGGATGGACATTTCTGCAGAACACTCTCAATACCCTGCTGTCTCCCTCCAGCTACCCTGCAGAGAGCATTCCCAGCTGAGTTTGCAGCAGCCGCTCCATGGCCTTCATTGTATCTGGCATATGGTGGGCATTCAGTGAATCTGAAGAAATAAACCGGTGACCTAGAAGCTTTTGCTTTGGTTTTTTGTTTTGTTTCTCGTTTGTTTTTGTCGCCCAGCCTGGCTTCACACTTGCAGGCGATGCTGCCTGGGATTACAGCAGGGATTACAAGTGTGAGCTGCTACACTCACAGACCTAGGGTTTTTTATGGCATTCTTTCTCCACTGCCCCAAGTGCCCAGAAAAAGACCTCAGGGTTATACCTTGTAGAAAATAAGCCATGATCACAAGTGTGAGTCACTATCTAGCAGAAATGACAAGCTGGTCATAAAACTATGACCCAAAGACCAGCTCTGAACACATCCATGGCTCACGCATCTTCTACACTATGGGTACTTACAATATATTAAGTGCAGTCAATGGGCACCTTACACTCTAAAATCAGTACTCACTCTAAGGCCAAAATACCTACTACTTGGCCATTTGCAGTAGAAGTGCATAAGCTGAAGCTGATCAGCTAGGTGCACACATGACCTCTCTAGGTAGCCAGAGTGATAGACTGAGCGGCTCCAAACAGCACAACTACAGCAAAAGCCCATGCTCAAAACAAACAAACCACGTTAGCGAAAGTAGTCATGCTAACTTGCATTAGCTCACTAGCTTTATGGAGTACAATGGCACTCACTGCTGCTGCATTGGCACTGATGTCTCCCCCTCCACGTCACCACAAGTTACCGTCAATACTCACCTTGCAGTTTCTAGGGTCTTTATGGCCTTGTCAATGTCCCCTTGGCTTTTATACAAACACGCCAGCTCAAACAGAGTGAACGGCACCAGATAGTGGTCATACTTCAGTAGCTTCTCACTAAAAAGCGAATGAGAATCAATTAAGTCTTAACAGAACACAAAAGGTACCATTCGGAACACATATTGTTCTTCACTTCCCAGACAACACTGAGACTATCACAGAGGAAGGCTGTGGTCACAGCTATGGAACTGAACAACCTACGGAATGAAGTATGCTTCCATACACTAATTGTTAATTCTTTAACATACAGCCCGCATTGGTGTAGTACCAGCTCTTAGGCAGACCAATACACACAGACCTTCGAGATGGCCCTCGAGAAGATGAGATCACCTTTGTGAGCATGTGGCTCCAAAGTTAGTAATAAGGAAGTTGCATTAGTTTTGTGTTTAACAAAGCATCAATTTCCTTCGTACCTAAGTCTTAGAATTCTTCAAAACGTCAATGATTATATGGCTGGCAGTTCTGTTTCAGCATCATTTTGGAAGCTAGAAGTTCAGGAAAAAAGCCTGAGTAACAAAGAGCCTTTTAAATCTAGAGCAAATTGTTTCTCTAGTTCTAACTGTAATGGATTTTTCATTTTTGGTGGTGGATAAGTACATAAAAAAATATATTGATGATTAAAAGCATAAAATCCAATGCAAAACCCCACAGCTTCCATTCTGAATGGCTACTCTGTTCACTGATTTGTATAGTGTTTGTGCCAGGTTGACTTTAGTGTGTGATTTTTATTTTTATTTGTAACCTTTTAAATAAAGTTTAAAATAAATTAAACATAATGACAACAATCTATAGCTCAGTTTACCAGGCTATAGCCCAAACTACTCTCAGATGCCAAGGAGAAGTAAGAGCAAGATGGCAAGACTATTTGTGCTGAATCTGCCCTGGGGTCTGCAGAGAGACCTGAGACTTTGAGTCTCAATGGCCAAGCAGGAAATGAGGCCCTAGACCCATAAAAAGCATATGGCTGGAGCTGAATACCTTAAGCTTGGAACGTAGAATATGTCCTTTGGAGAAAGCAGACTAGAAGAAACCCACTCACTGGCAAAAAGACAAGACAGAGACGATGGTCTCCTATTGCCTGCACTTTTGACATGAAGAAAAAGCAAAACACATCTCTTTGGAAATTAACAACACATAGGCCAGTCTTCACAGAAATTTACAATCCAATTTTACATTGCTCAAGAGGTCCAAACACTGCTAAACATGATATTAACACGACGGTGGCTTTGGTAGACGTCAAAATAAGTGGTATAGGAAAACTCTTCCACAACTTAACCCCACTGAAGGTGATTTCACAATCCAAACCCTGGAAAGCACAGGAGCAAATGCCTCCCTGTGAGAGGCAATAAAACAAAGCAGGCAGCACACACGGTCACTGCTGCACCAGTAAACTAGAACTGCATATATAGTTTCCTAGTGTTCACCAAATATAGTATACGACCTTATTTGGGAACTAGAAAATGTGTCCTACATTCTCACAAATACTGTCATGAGGGAGGACACTGTATGGCCTCCATCTTCATGGTGTGCAGGGTTTTCAAAATCACAGCGCCAACGTTTAAAAATCAGGAGATCTGACTGGGCAGTGGTGGTGCACACCTTTAATCCCAGCACTTGGGAGGCAGAGGCAGGTGGATCCCTATAAGTTCAAGGCCAACTTGGTCGACAAGAGCTAGTTTCAGGACAGGCTCCAAAACTACAGAGAAACCCTGTCTCGAGAAACAAACAAACAAACAAAAATCAGGAGATCTGACATTAAATGCAGCTTCCAGCTTCTTTCTGTAGGGACCACAGTTGCTGGGCCCACACTGTGCAAAGTGAAGTGTTACATAGTCACAGTCTTTAGAGAAAACAGGGGTTACCAGTTCACCCATAAGCATTCAGCCTTGCTCGGGCTCTATATACAAGAAATGGGTCATCTTTAAACACTGGGTGTAAATGCATAAAGCCGTATTCCATGCAGGCCATAGCTTGGCACATCACTTTGCCTCCAAGTCCCCTGAAGCCACAACTTGAACCCAGGCTGGCTCTTACCTTTCCACAATGTGGTTGAAACACAGCTCAGCTTGCAAGGGTCGCTCTAAGTTCTTGAGGCAACATCCCTTCAGTAATTTCACCAAGCACTCATCATCCACAGAGTCAGCAAAGTCTTAAAACAACAAGAAGAAACAACAGGGGGAAGAGTTCATTGTCTTCTGGGGTGCCTGGGATGAACGCTAGCGCCGCATCCATATGAGGTGAACACCCTGAGCTGCCTTGCCAGCACAAAAATACTTGCCAAAAATCCTAATTGAGAAGAAAACTAACTGATGTTGGGCTTTAGGGGAAGCGTTTAATAATAAGCTTACCAACCTACTACATAAAACACAATGGGAATGCTTGTTCAGAAGAACACTGAGCTTACACATTCTACGCCATTCATCTAGGGAGACCGCACGGGCAGATTTTTCTGGTGGTCATAGTAAACGCTGTGCCCTTAGCTACAACAGGAAATCTGATCTCTAAATAAAGAATGAGCTTCATTAATTCTCTCAGAGGTAAAGGAGGAGGAAGCAGGCTGTCTCCTCCTGTTGTTTTGGCTTCTAACTGCGCTGGCGTCCGCGCAGGAGAGGGTAGCACCTCCATATGGAGAAGCAGATGGCCTCCCACCCGTTCAAAATGCAGGAAGCAGAAACCTCTCTCCAGATCATTATGTTTACAACCTAGCAATTCTCGCAGGTTATGTTCTTTGGGGGGAGAATTATGCCATGAAATGGTTCTGAAATACAGGAAAGGCACCGAAAGTCGCCACAAACAGCCATGCTCCGGGAAAATGTCAAGGATTTCCTTTTCCTATTCAGGCCCCTGTCTTCTCCAGCGCAGTTTGGATATGTGTTAAGCAGAATGAGCCACATGGTGTCGTGGCTATCCGTCAAAGGTAGCCACGCCACGTGTTCTGTTCGTGAAGATTTTTCTGCTTTCTTCTTTTGCAAGTGACAAGCAAAGAAGTCATTCCAAGACAGACTGCTAATTTACATGTTTCCGGCTGTGACAGCAGTGTGGAGGGGCGGTAAGGGGAGAGGACTGGATCCTGGGAGTCTCCATACTGCAGCCGCATGCTTTGGGTTCAAGTCTCAGACCCCGTCAGTGACACGTGCTGGTGTTTCAGTTGGTAAACCCTCAGCTATGGGAAGCAACAGTGCTACTCACCCAACTGGTGGGGCTCACTTCACTTCTAAGTGTTAAACACATGAGATTCACCTTGAACTGTCAAGGGCTAATATGCCATGGGTCACACACTAGGAAACCCACAGGTACCAACACCTCTGACCTTTCCTACTAGGGACTTGGCACCCCTTACCTTCCATTCTCCCACTCACAATCCACGCTTCTATCAGGGAGTCTGCTGAGAAACAGGTCAGTCAGACCCAAGCCCAAAGCTGGGTCCACACTGGCCGCCACTTTTCCGTCTCATTTCTGTGCATTCTATTGAATTCTGAGAAGCAGTTTTCTAATGTTATGACAATAGCTGCTTGCTCGATGAATGATGTTTGAGGTGGCACAGACAATGGCTACTAAAAACCCAGTAGACGCACTCTGTGGAGATCATAAGTTAGCAATGTGACAGGGCTTCATATGCCACCTCTTCCACAAACTCAGAAGCAAAGCCCAGTTCCCCTGACCACAGCGCAGTATCACATGATCACGCCCCATCATGGCCTGCACCCGCACACAAGAGGAAGAGCCGAACACCTTCCATTTCTACTGGGGAGAAGGCTGCTGAGATGCCCTGCGGGTGAAGGCACTAAGTGTGACGGCCTGGGTTGGATCCCGAGGACCCACATGTGGGAGGACAGCACTTCCCATAAACTCTCCTCTCGCACATACACACACAGAGAGAAATAGGGTTTGAGATGTTTTTGGTTTGTTTGTTTAAATCACAGGAACAATGCCACTGCTCACAGGTGGCACAGCAAGGCTGCCGATGTCCTAAATGTGGGCGGGCTAAGACTGACAGACATCTGAAAACTACAAAGATACCCACACTGAGCATTACAGAAACCCACTGCAGCACCGAAAGGGAAACACGGGAGCTGGCCGGAACGGGGAAAGCGGCCAGGCAGTCCTACCTTCCTTTATGTAGCTGACTCTATTTGCTGTTAATGTCACACCACACAGATTAATCGCAATGACAGACAAAGTGGATCTGCTGCCGACTTCTGGCTACATGATGAATTTGGTTAGAATCCCAAGGAAAACAGTGCAAAACTCACCGCCACGTGTCGACGCTAAGCATGTCAGCAAGCGCTCTCGCATCTAGCTGTACCCTTTGTGCGGACGACCAACCTGTACGTACCAAAGCCAGGCCCTACCACAGGACAATTGTGCCCTCTACCCTCTGCCCTTTAACCACAACTGACAGATAGAAAACCAGAACCACATCTGGTATGGTATCTAATAACGGGCAGGGGTAGAAGCCCCCACAACCTCAGGCTTGGAACTTCACTCAATCTTCCAATCAGGATTCCCCACACACACTCTGAAGAATGGAAGTTTAATTAACTAACAGTCAGAAGTTTTAAGGCAGGGAAGATAATGTTCCTACATAAAACAATGGTCCTCAAAACCATTATAAACCTAATGTATATTCAGATAGAGATGACCCTGACAATAAACCAATTCTTTCACCAGGGAAAAACGGAGGACAGGACTGTCAGCAAGCGTGGGACACATGCTGCGTCTCAGCTGGTTCACCCAGAGCTCGCGCGTGGCATCTGAAGATACCGTTAGAAACAGGAGCAGGAAAGGCAGTGTATGAGCACGCGATGCAAACACTAATCCTTTAGCTCTCTTTCTCCGGTCAATAGAGGGCAAAATAACCCGAGGGGGAAGAGCCTATCCAGAGAAAACCCCAGTGGTCATTCACAAACTCAAGACCCTTGACTGAGAAAGGCTCTACCTTGGGAGCTGGGAAGATCCAGGAGACATCACTGGGGGCTCAGGAATGGAAGTTGACCCCACCGAGTCCAGCCCATCAGAGCTGGGGGAGCAGGGCGTACATGAGGAAAGCTGGCTATTTCTGCAACTGTTCTCACGTAAGCAAGCCCCCAAAGGTTTTCCTTTACTTTCTGCTTTTCACATAAACATTCATTCATCCATTTAATTTGTAGACAAGTGGCCTTTAATTTATAATTCCCATAAAGGCAAGAGCTATCTTTAGTTAAATTCATCGAACAACAGAGACCACTACTAAATTTGTTCAAAATTTTGAATTTTTGGAAAAGTTCATCTCATGAAATCTCATTTTAAAAAAAACACTGGTTTTTATTTTATATGTTTGAGTGTTTTGTCTGTATGTAATGTGCACCACCAAAGGCATACCTGGTGACCATGGAGACCAGAAAGGGGGGGAGGTCAGGTTCCCTGAAAGTGAAGTTACAGTCAGTTATAAGCTACCATATGATTGCTGCAAACGGAACCTGGGTCCTCTGTAAGAGACTCCTCTTACAGAGTGTTCTTAACCACTGAGACATCTCTCCAGCCCCTAAATCTTATTTTATTTTATATGGGGGCGAGGGGTTGAGACAGGTCTCACTATGTGGTTCTAGTTGTCCTGGAACTCCCTTGTAGACCAGGCTGGCCTCAAACTCACAGAGATCTGCCTGCCTCTGTCTCCTGAGTGCTGGGGTTAAAGGTGTGTTCCACCTCTACCAGGCTCCAAATCTTATTTAAAAGGTAAACGTCAATATACTTCCATTTTATCTCAATTTCAAAATAATGTTGTGTTGATTTCCACACAAAATATTTTTCTTTTAAAAATAATTTTACAATAAAATAGCAAAGATTGCCTTATATATGTTAGATTGGCTACTATTTAATTTTGTTTTATGCATGAGTGTTTTGCTTGCATATATGTCTGTGCATGGTATCCATGGAGTCCAAAATAGGGCACAGACTGTATTGGGTGTCTGAACATAACATGATGAACCACTCAAAACACAGGACATGGCATTATAGCATACTGAGACCTAACTGTCACCGAGCCAGTGTTAAGAGGTAAGAACTTCAAGAGGGTGGCAATGTGTGCTGTGTGCCTCATTCTGTCTCCACATCGTGCCCTCTGCCATGCGACAAGAAGGTCCTCATCAGCTGTAGCACCTGGATCCTACAACCCCTAGGCTCCAGACCTGTGGGAAACACACTGGTTTTCCTTCATCCATCACCCAGCCTATAATATTCTGTTATAGCAGCAGAAAAAGAAAAGCAGGTCCTTAAAAACAAAAACTTTAAACTGGCCCACAATGGCTATGCCATAAAAGTGGAATCACATCCTACATGGTTTTTTGGGACAGACACCCATTCTTTGGTGCATCAGGAGGCGCCATCCTCACTCCATCTTGACAACAAGCACCCAGACAGCAGAAGCTCAAGCCTTGTTCTTGAGATGCACACAGAACAACATGTGCCCCAGGGAGAGACCAGAGAGGCATCGGAGCCAAGATAAAGACTCTGCACACTTACTCTGAGTTTGCAGAGCCGCCTCAGCCTTCTCCACAGTCACCAAGAGGTTTTCAGAAAGGTCCTTCCTTTTGGCTACTATCGAAAAGCCATTCCAGACGTACATCATTTCCTGAGGAGGAAGGATGGAAAACCATATGTGAGGTGTCTGCTAAGGACATCAGCATGACAGTCGGGATCTTGTTCTACTTTTCTTCATTTGGGATTCAGTGACATAAGTTCCCCTGGTTTATTATATATATGCCTTTTGTCTTTCACGCTCTGAGGTAAGGAAGCATATACCTTATACTCACTCATTCAACAAACACACTATCTACTAGCGTGCGATCCTTTGGATAGAACAGAGATACAGAAGTAAAATAATATTTTAAACTGACACTATAAACAATTTTGTTTAATGTAAATTTTTGTTGTTACTTTTAAGAAAAGGGAAATATTTTAAAATGTCTGCTAATTGTTTACATCAAGTGTTTCCAAGCATATCACTAGAAATGATCATTGGAATATTTATTTTACTGGGCTCAGGTTCTTTTATATCATTAAAAACATGTGTCGGCCCAGTAATGTGATCCAATATGCAGAAAACACGTTTGTTTAAAGGCCATATGGCTGAATGACAGCCCCTGAAATGTAAACTAATGACTTCTCATTGCAGATTATATTTAATGGGCTAACAGATGAGAATTTTTTTTGGATCAAAAGCAAATGTGCTTTTGCTTGAAAATATTTTTCTAATGTCCAGACAGTGCCGTTCATATTTTGAAGGGTATACAATGAGCATGAATTTTAAGATACAACAGATAGTGTTTGAGAATCTTCTTAGCCAGAGCAGTCATGGAAACGAGGCATCAAATGATGGTGTCAGGCTTGCTTTACGGCACTGAGAGCTAGGGGCACAATTCAGTAATGACATTTTTAAATTGATGACTTAAATGTTTTTATGAGTGTAGTATTTATCCAAGGGAGAAACAAGCTTGGTTTGAAATTTTTATGAAAAGCAGGCTGTGGCAACATCTCTTGGTATGAACAATTCTAAGTCAATTCTTTGTTATTGTATACCCACGAACCTTCAGTGATTCAAAGCATGACAGAGCCTCATACACACCAGGGTCTAAGTACTAAGGTAGACAAAGGGAGACAATGGTCAAGTGAAGTTTCTGGAAAGTTCTTTGACATAGAATCTTCCCAGTACAAACCACTTGATAGCAGCGAATGTGGAACAGTACTAAAGCTAATCAGGGCAACAATAGGTACCAACTGGGAAAGGGTTTTGCGGTCTCTGTGTTGAGCACAGTGTTCTTGTTATTGTCTGTGCTCAAGACACAATTATAGGTCCATCACATTCCGACCTCATCCTGTCAGTCTAACCTTAGGGTTCTGTGGGAAACACCGGTCTAAGTGCTACCAGCTGCAGGTTAGCTCGTGTATCTGACCCGTCAGGGGCTGTATTCTTATTCCTCTTAAAATACACAAAGAACGTCTGAGAATCAGCAACAAAACAAAAGAATCACCCAATGAAACAAGAATGATATGAACAATGGAGAAAAAAAACTAAAAATGAATGAGCAGAGGAAGACACTGAAAAGTGTTAATATAGAAATGCAAATTAAAAGGGTGTAGTATCAGTCATTTGAATTGATACAGTATGGGGGTAGGAATTTAATGTTATCTCATCTACCCAAACATTAACACACAGCCTTCAACTAAGAACTCCAGGACTTTGAAAACATTCCCAGAGAATTACATGTGCATATAAATGATGCCCATTGCAGCAATGTCTATGACAGTAAAAAATACTGGAAAATGGCACAGAACTTTCAAAGGAGAATGATTAAATCATCCAAGTTATGGAAGTCTCAAGGAACCAGCCACGGAGGAGGACTGTGACATTGGGGTGCACTGAAAACTTCCCTGGGCCAAGGTTAAGAGTCACGGCAAAGCAGTATATCCAGCACTAAAGAAGGTTTTGTTCAAAATATTCAAGTCAAATGGTGTTTTCACAGAGGCTTTGCCAAAACAGAGGGGTGATGAGGAGGGTGAACTCAAGTGGGACTGGAACAGCCAGCCGCCCCCTGCAGCCAGGGCCCCCTGCAGTAGAACACCCTAGTTGGAAGGGGTTCCTCTCTGGTGGGAGAGCCACGCCTATGAAAGGCTGTAATGCAAAGGGGCGTGGCACACCTCGGGGATGAGTCTTCTTTGTTTACAATCCCACATCAAAGGGGCAAAGCTTTGCTTCACATGTGGTCCAGGGTGGTTGGGCATTCCCTATGCAGCCCAAGCTGACCTCAAATCTGTAGCAATTCTCTGGCCTCAGCTGCCCAAGTGCTAAGATTGCAGGTATGAGTCATCATGCCCAGATTAAACAAACTCCAGATCAAAAAAAGTATATTCTGGACAATTATTCTCTAAAGGTTTTCTTTTACATATCTATTAGAAAATATAAAACTGAATTTGTGGATTGTTTTGTAATTCAGTTCCACTTCAGTGAAGCCGTGTTCTCCCTTTAGGTCTGAACATCCTCATCTGAAACATGGAACTGAGACCATTCTTAATTTTATGATGAAAGTCAAATGGCATGGCCTTTTTGGATTTGCCTTTATCACAATGTCTAGGACATACGAACTAATCAAAAGGCAACAGGTAAAATTTTCAATGTTTTAAAATTAGTTTATGTATAAATATAAAAATACACAATAGTTCTTAAGGAGCCATAAGCTTCCCATCCAAAGCTAAGTACATTCCTTGATGCTCTCAATAGTGACTTTATCTCTAGCATGGAGACCGTGAATAAAAGCAGATACCAGGGCAGGTAGGACGAGCTTCCCGGGGGCTCCTGAGGAGGGTGAGTACCGGCGTGCCTTCCTCACAGCGAACTTCTCGGTTGGGAGAGATTTCCCTGCGATCCTCTGCTTCAAGCCATCTACCTGTCTGTGGAGAGCCCACGAAGAGGGCAGTGAGCATACATATCATTTACAATGGACTTTTTACACCTACATCATAGGCCAGTAGCAGCCGGGAACCTGTTCCAAATGCACAGTACTGGGCGTTCCCCATGAACCGGCAGTCAGTCCTAAGGTCGGGACCAGCAATCTCGATGAGGACACACGTCCGGGTAATACCGGATACACAATTTGGGGAGAGCCAGTAACTCACATGTTTCCTTCCAGTCATCTTAGCTGGCATCCTACAGGTGTCAAACATAGTCCGGGCTAATCTGGGCATAAAATTGTCTATTTCCAAAATATGCAGAAAAGAGAAGGGAAGTGGCTGTGGGGTGGTCTTTCTGTGCGCTGGATTTGTTTTGCTATCATTGGTTGATAAGTAAAGCCGATGTGGCCTAAAGCCAGGGATAATATAGCTGGCGGGAAAGTCAGACTGAGTACAGGGAAAAGGGTGGAAGGACAGAGAGAGATGCCAGCTGCTGAGGAAGCAAGACAGGTTAAAAAATGAGGTAGCACCATGGCCACAAGGCAATATATAGGCCAATAGAAATGAGTAAATTTAAATGTAAGAGCTAGTGAGTAATAAGAATGAGCCATCAGCCAAGCACTTATAAGTAATATTAAGCCTCAGAGTGGTTATTTGGGAACTGGAGGGCGGGAGAGAAACCTCCGATTACATAACGGTACACCAACGTGAAGCTCTCAAATTTCTGTAAGGCCTGAAAAAGCTTTAGAAGGGGCTTCTAAACACACAGTAATGGAGCTAAAACCAGCTTCCTAGTTATGGCTCTCATGGGGACCACAGCACAGAGATGCCACGACATGCAGACTTGAGCACAGCATGGCAGATTCCTGAAAGCTGGGCAACAGTTGCGTGGTGGATTTAGCTTTTGCTCAAAGAGACAAAAAAGAGTCTAAAAGACACACAGCAAAAGCAGTTCAGAAGGAAAAACCTTAAACAGGTTCCAGTGTGTTTTATAATGTGCGCAGGCTTAAGAAAGAAAGAAAATGGGTACAGGCAGTTGTAGAAATAAATAAAATAGTTTTAAAAAATAAAACAAAGTCTTTAAAGAGACAGTAAAAATAATATAAAAGAAAAAAGTCACGTAAGTTTGGGAAATAAACAGGGAATCTGATCCTATATATTATTGTGTTGATTCAGAATTTTTTGATGGCTGATGGACAAGAGACAGCTGTTGAGAGACATGGGGTTGAAAGAGAGACCAATAAAATATACCAATATAAATATTTTAAAAATGCCTTAGCTTTAAAACAAAAGTCAAAAAATATATTTGTAGAATGGACCTTAAAAGAGATGCAGTGCTTTGGAGAAGTTGTTTTCTTCCCACAGGAAACAAGAGGCTATGGATTCATTATAGATTAAGATAGACCAGCTGTGATCTAGAAGGCTGCCTGACCTTGTCAAGTGACATCTATCAACAAAGATTATAACTGGTCTTCCCAGGACTTGGCCATTATCTCAAATTTTCTCAGGAACCCTAAAGATACTTTGTCCACAGACAGCAGGAAGCAGTTTGGAGACACTAATGTCCACATGCCCCAGAGTTGGGGTGTATGGACGGTCTTTGGTTATTTGGTGGGTTATTGACATTTGTTATATTTAAGGGAATATAGAAAGGTATAACAAAACAAATTTAAAGCAAATTTTGTTACAAAGTATGTATGTTTCTATTTTTGTTTAAATTATTTTTGTATATTATTAAAAATTTAAGGTTATTTTTGTTATACTATATAAATGGTTCTTCTGTTTAAGGTATTTTTATATATTGATACAAATATAAGGTTACTATCCTTATGTTGCACATGCTTTCTATTTTTGCTTAAGGTATTACCTATATAGCTCATACCTATAAAACTTGTTTAATTATGCAATATGAAGTCTTAGTCCTTAAAAGTTATTCTGGCTAATAAAGAAATACAGGCTAATAGTCACCCATATCTATCAAATTTATAGTTATGTTAGATTTTCAAGGTAATACAGAGATATAGTTCGGATAGGTAATCTTCAAACACTTCAAAGACCTATGAAATATGGCATTCATATGTTTTAAGAACTTAGACTTTTCTCGACAGTTAGATACTCTGATCCTGGCAGCACCAATTACTTTAAGGGTATGATGGGCCTCAAAGAAGTTCTTTATGGAGTTTGCTTTCAATGTGGCAATACTATCCATTTGGGCAAGAAGTTACTCTTTCCTGGACTGCTTGACAATATTTTGTATAAACTGAACATGCAGGACCCACAGGAAAATGACCACCACTAAACTTTGTTAAAACAAGGCGGAATGGTCCTTCAGAGTTCCTGCTTCACAGAAGAAACTGCCAGGCATTCTGCAGGACACCGAGGAAAGTGACTGACGAACTGCCAATATAGGCAGGGCAGTGTTTCAAATTTCCTGCTTCATTGAAAAGCCTGCCAAATGCTATGGGCCTGTAGGCTGAAAATGGATGCCCCAATGTAGCAAAAACCTTTAGGTGACTGTCCAGGCAGTCAGATATCTCTGTTATTTCTAGAGTTTTGGAAGTTGTTTGCAATGCACTTCCTGTTTACTCAAGTAATAATATATCCTTCCGGGGTCTTTGATGGAGTTGAAGACTAGACAGTTATAATTGTTTTCCTTAGTTATGATAAAAGATAAATTAGAAATGAAACTTTAGACTTACAAAGATAGAATAGATGATAGAGTATTTTCTTTAATTTTGCCAATACAAACAGACTAAATATTTTAACTGTGATTCTTACTTGATAATTGTTTTTGTTGTATACAATTTTACCATGTTAAAGTTAAAACCTTCCTTTTCAATTAGACAGAAAGTGGGAAATGTTGTAGGATGGTCTTTCTGTATGCTGTGACTATGTTTTGCCCCCATTGGTTGATAAATAAAGTTGATTTGGCCTATGGCCAGGCAGAACATAGCAAGGTAGGAAAGCCAAACTGAATACAAGGAAAAGAAGAGTGGAGGAGAGACGGAAGTCAGCTGATAAGGAAGAAAGACATGTAAATGATGAGGTAATGCATGTGGCAATATATAGATTAATAGAAGTGGGTTAATTTAAATGTAAGAACTAGCTAGTAATAAGTCTGGGTCATTGGCCAAGCATTTATAAGTAATATTAGGCCTCAGAGTGGTTATTCGAAAACTGGCAGGCAGGAAAGAAACCTCCAATTACAGGAACCATGTAAATTGGTACATTTCCTGTTTCTCTCTGCAGATATTGCACAGATTTATAACATGATGTATCTCTGAAGACAACCATCCATTTATGCATATTTGAGATAGCTAACCAAACATAGGTAATTTTGTAAATAATCATTTTAGGATTTACTATTTTCAAAATTCTAAGTTGGCTGTGTAAGCAGGAAGAACTGAGTTCAAATCCTCGGAACCCAGGTTGGTTCCTGCATGTGCCTGTGACCCAGTGGAGACAGGAGACATAAGGGACCCCAGGATTTGCTGACCAAGAGCCTGGCTCCAGATTCAGTGAGATCCTAGAGAAAATAAGGGGGTAGAGTGGAACTCCTAACATCATCCTCTGTCCTCCGCACATGTCTGGGTATGCACACACACTCCTATACATGATGCATACATGCACACTGCCCCCCCCCAAAATCTAAGATCATGAGAATGAAAAACTAGGATAGAGAGAGACTACATGTTCTTGGAAGAGACTATGTTTGTGGGGTGGGTCTCTTTCTTATGCATAATTCTATGAATGCATGACCAAGGGAAAGGATTCAAGAAAATATCTGATTACATCACTGACAGAATCAAACGAGCAGGAGAAGAACCTTAGTGTGAAAGAGCAGGAGCAAACCCCTGATAACTAAACTCTGACTCTAGAAAGCAAGTATAAGGCATGTTTCCATGATTCCCAGATATGCAAACACATCTGAAAATCACGCTAAAGAATGACAGGCTGGCTCTCAGCTAAGTGTATTACTCTAAGTGTGTCCATATCGATGAGTAGAAAAAGTAAGAACTATGGGAGTAGAGTGCAAAGGGAAGAAGTCAGATGTGTCTAACCCACCGGGGCCCCGTGAGAGAAACATTGTTGTGCTCACCTGAACAGAGCCACCACATTCTCATTGGTCGTTGCCACCTCCTCCTCCGGAAGCATGCTCAAAATGGCAGCTTTCAAGAACACATATGTTGCCTTGAGGAAACAAAGACAAGGGCTCACTAGAGAACATGAGATTTTAGCCTTGCACACAGAAGTGACCTAGAACTCTTCCATACGTCACATTAAAAGGTGTCAGGGTTAGCTGCCTTTTTCAACAGAGTCCCAGCACTAAGAGGGGTAAGTGGATAGGGGGCTCCCACATCTAACCAGAAGCTATTTGCAATTGACACCTACTGGGAAAGGGAAAGCTACTGGGAAAGTGGAGTGTCACTGGGTACACTGACTACACTCCAGAGAGGATGTAGCCCCTGTGAAGAGTAGCTGGCCAACATAAAACGAAGTCCATGTTTTTTATTTTTGTTTAGGTTTTTATTTTTCTTGTGTGTGGGATTTGGGGTTTGTTCTGAGACTTTTGGTTTATTCTTTGTGGGTGTTTTGATTTTCATTTTTGTAATTTAAGGTTTTTTTGTTTTTTTTTTTTAAGAAAGGGAGAGAACATAAGTTTGGGTAGGTAGGGAGGATCTGGGAGGAGTTAGGGAAGGGAACATGATAAAAGTACATTGTATAAAAGAAATATTTTAATTTAAAAAATGAAACACACAGGCTTTAGCTCTCTGCTCACACTGAAGTGCTGAAGCGCTCTGATGAAGCTGGGATGATGGCATGCCTATCATCCCAGCACTTGGGAAGCTTAGGCAGGCGGCTGCCACAAATTTAAGGTCAACCTGGGATTCACAGTGAGCTCCAGGCTAGCCTTGGCTACAAAGGGAAATTCTGTCTCAAAAAACAAAAACAGAAGGGAAAAACAGGTACTCAAATACATCTGCATGGTTTCCAAAACTGATTAAAAATATCACTAACTATTAAAAAAAGTTTGTTCCAGATGACAGTAAGTTTTCAGTGGTCATTTTCCTATGACAGGAACGTGCCATCATGGATAGGAAAGTGGGCAGAACAAACAAAAATCGTGATCTCTTCCTCTCAACTTCTCAAAAATGGCTCAGAGTTAACTTTAATTATCACCAAAAACTTGGTCAGGGCATTGAAAGTCTACAAAAATCACCAAGATCACAATACAGGAGACTATAAGGCCACAGGCAGGTTATCCTGGCAGTAACACACCTTTGTTGGACAGCACTTTGGGGGACTTTTTCTGCCTGGAGTGCTGAGGACAGCACCTGTGATTCTAATCACTAGCTAATTACCGCCACTCCCTCCTCCAGGTCTCTAAACGGAGCAAAGTGTCCATGTCAGAGTCTTGAAAAATCGATCTTAAACGACAAACACAGGAGCCACGCAGCAACAGAAAACGTTGAGAGCAGTAGGGCTTTACCTTAGACCATTTACTCTCTTTGCAGAGAAGGTCTGAATAATAATACGCCTGCATCCAATTCTGCTGGTATATATAAATCCACATTAATTCCCAGTAACAGAGATGGTGAAACTGTTTCCACTCTTCTTGAACTGAAATGCATTTTCGAAACGTTTCTTGAGCCTATAAGTCAATTGCATAAAGCTGATCATCCAGATATTAGACAAGGAGATAACAACCTAATGGGAAAATACATAAAACACTTTGTACAGAGAGAACAAAAGCATCACTCAGTAAGCCACTCCATATGACATTACGTTCTCTTCCTTACATGTGATGCTGTGAGGGGACCTTGTACTTTATAACATAGGAATAGGAAAGCCCTTTCCAGTGAGAGAGAAATGACAAAACTCTTTCATAAAACACAGACTACAACAGTTTAAGAACCTCACTGACCAAAACACACTTTAAAAAAGATTCCAGATACTGGGTAGGCAAAGAGAAGATATTGCTGCCCACAAATTAGCAGAAGATTTTACCAGAAAAATTGGTACAAATGTAATCCGGCAAATCAAAGAAAAGAATAAACAATCGATAAACATACAACAAATTCACAAACTAGTTAATCGAATTTGAAACTTTGAGCTAGGCATAGCTTGGTGGCAAAGCACTTGGCCAACATACACGAGACCCTAGATTTGACAAGCACAACAAATAACAATAGTAAGAACAAAATTAAGTAAAAAATTCAATTCCTTTTTTTTATGCTCATCACCTGGGCAAAAAAAATTTAAAGGACAGAGACTTCCAGAGTTGACAAAGAATATTAGAAATACAGGCTCTCACATTTAAAGATTTATTAATTTTTATGTGTATTTGTGAGTGCCCACACCACACACATATTGCACCACATGCATGCCTGGTGTCTACAGAGGCCAGAAGAGGGTGTCAGATCCCTTGGAACTAGAGTTATCAGAGGCCAGAAGAGGGTGTCAGATCCCTTGGAACTAGAGTTATAGGCAGGTGTGAGCCACCTGATGTGGCTGCTGCGGACTGAACCTGTGAGAAGAGCGAGTGCTCTTAACCACTGAGGTATCTCTCCAGTCTGTTTCTCATTTCTTTACAGAGGTTTAAGACTCTTCGATAAGAAAGGCCATTTGCCTGGATGGCAAGAATGCAAGCACCACCTGACCCAGAATCCTATCCCAATGGATCTGTGCACAGAAATGCACACATGACAGTGGCTTAGTGGTCAGTCACTAGTGGCTGTTGGGAGCTGTAGACCCCTGGCCCCTTAACTTTCTTTGCCTGTCTTAGACCCTTTGCCAGCTGGAGTGAACTGAGCAAAACCTGTGCCTGCAGCTGCTCTGAACCTGCTGAGTCTGCAGCTGAAAAACCCCGAGAGCTGGGCGTGGCTAAGAATCCCTATATAAGCTGCCCCTGAGCGCAGTAAACTTGGCATTCTTATACCAAGGATGACTCCTGTCTGTGTCTCTCTGTGCGTATGCTTCTAAGTCTCCAGCTTAGGTCCTGGCTCGCATGACGTTGGTGTAGTGATGAGGCGAGCAGGCCTGCTTTTCATCGCCCCCCCCCCCACCCCTGCTCCTGGCTGCCTGGCTAGCTTTATACCCGAAATAAGAACACACAAACTGTATTCTTTTAAACACTGCCTAGCCCATTAGTTTCAGCCTCTTATTGGCTAATTCTCACATCTTGCTTTAACCCATATTTAGTAATCTGGGTAGCATCACGAGGTGGTGGCTTACCGGGAAGGATCCTAACCTACATCCTTCTCGGGTCAGAGAATCATGGCATCTGCCTGCCTCTGCTTTCTTTCTCCCACAATTCAGTTCTGTCTTCCCCACCTACCTATGTTCTGACCTATCAGGCCAAGCAGTTTTCTTTATTAATCAACCAATGAAAGCAACAGATAGATAGAAGACCCTCCTACATCAGTTTGGCTTTTTACAAGTAGTCAGTTTAGTTAGTATAACTATCCATCTCATGAAAGGAAATAGAGCCATCAAAATAAACAGGAGACTTAAATACACTGACCTGGAGGAAGGTTTACAATAAATAGAAACAATGTTTGCTCTCATTTGTGTGGAGGGATACATAGATACACACACACACACTTCTCTTGTACATCAGGGAAATTAGTCAACTAGTGCCTCTGACAGGAACCAGTGCAGCTGCATGGTAGGCAAAAGATAGGTTCCAAAATCCATGCAGAAACGGATAATCCTCAAAGCTTTCTGAAACCTCTTAGATTGTCCATGTGTTATTTTATACATTCTTGAAAATATATTTTATATATTCTACCATGAACTATTTCACATACTTTATGCATAAACATGAATTGAGGTAAGTTACTAAATGTGGCAACATATATGTACAAAGTAAAAGCTTGGCTTTTCAGAATTATACTACCTATTTCTTTTATTTTATTCTAGTACACATAGATTTACGTATGTTGAATGAGTGTGTGATGGAGCCTTTCCACACAGACAGTGCCCCGAGACAACCCTTGCTGGACTAGCTACCTTTTCAGCATTGCCCTTCAGCAGCTCGATCCGGGCGTGGTAGAACAGTATGAGTGAGCCCTGCGGAGAAAGGAGAAACACACTTGAGCAGACCATGGCGGCTGGAGCGCGGCTGACAGACACGGGCACAGTGAGCATACATTTGGGAACTGCTGAAGGAAGGGCGCGAGGAGACTCTCTGCTTCCACCACGTTCACTTCTCCTGTACCTGGAAACGGAACAGACCCGGCTCAGTGCTCATGAAATGCGGTACGTACTTACAACCAACCCCCCAAACATATGTCACCATACACAGCGAACACAGACAAGATGAAGGGGATTATTTTGTCTTTGTTTACATTTGAGAAGCACATGATTTAAAGAGCTCTAGGGAAGAGAAATTCTCAAGAATGGAGGAGGCTACTTCAGATCCCCACTGGCATTTCTACTTTTCAAGACGATGACAAATTACTTTACCTCCAAATTTAAATTTATAAACATATTGAAAATCTAACATGAATGTGATGCAATTTAGCAGCCTTATACATAAATCTTACTTGAGAATAGATTGTAACTCCAGTACCAGGGGATCCAATGCCCTCTTCTGGCCACTGTGGGCACTAAGCATGCACACGGTACACAGGCATACATGCAGACAAAACACTCATACAGATAAATTAAATACATAAATATAAGTAACTTTAAAAAATGTTCAGTGAGAACAACCAGTCAAGCGTCTCTGCCAAAGATCACTATGACAAATCTATCTTCCAACTCAAAAAAGTCAAAGATAAAGAGCTGGAGCCTACTAGCTCTTACCAAGAATAAGGGAGATGTAGGTGTGGAAAGCCAGGATGGTAAGGCAACAGAGTGGGGACCGCATGCTGCTTCCTGACGCACCTTCCCGCAGCTGCAGAAGGCCCAGGTCCTGAGGAGAATAATTGCATCACAGAAAAAAATCTGACTGAAAAAGCACATTTATAAATTTTCACATGTCATTCGTATGTCCTGCCCTCCGTGAACTTTGGTGTTTTCTTCACCAACTTGGAATGATGATACTATTTAAACAGAAACAAACTTCACATTTTAAACTGGCAGAAGACAACCTGGCAAAACCTTTGTAATTGCTCACTTCACACAGCCTAGAGACATATGAAGGAAAAGCTGACATGGAGGAACTGCCGGGTTCAGACTGGTCAGTAAGCATGCCTGTTGGGGACAGTGCTTTACAGAAGAAGGCAGCCACTGTGAGGAGTGCCAATCCCTAGGCAGCTGGTGTGGGCTGTACAGGGAAGCTATCTAAGCATGAGCCTTTGAGCAAGCAGTACAGCGAATCAGCGAACAGACCTCCTCCATGGTTCCTCCCAGGTTCCTGCCCTGACTTCCCTCAAGGACAGACCACAATCTACAGGTGTAAATGAGCCTCTCCCTCCCCTACACTGTGTCTGCTCAGTGTTTCACCACAGCGACAGTGGCCAAACAATGGTCCAGCCCCACAGAAAATCATCCTGAGGTACAAGCTCAAGATGCTATGACGGGCAAGAACAAAGGACTCTGTGCCCACAGAGCCCGCCACTCAGTGGGGCAGTGAGACAGGAACTCACTCTCTTATAGCACCAGAGTGAGCTCCCTCAAAAAGAAGACTAGAGGATTCTGGAAGTTAGGGACACTTGAGCCTCACTGAGACAGTCTGAGGGCATTCTGTGGAAGCAATGACATTTATCTGAAACCTAAGAGAGGAGGCACTCCTGAGAGAACATCTCCCGAAAGCTGCTGGGGAAGGATGCTACAGCAGAGAGAAGCGGAAATTCCTGTCCACATGAAGACAAAATGCCATCCGTACCCTGTTTCCAGAAAATCCAATAAATTCTAGCAGTCTGATAATTCTTGCTGGTAGAAGAGACAGCATCTGTAAGATAAAACAGAAACGTGAGTGGATCTGGGTTTTAGAAAACTTAAACTATTGACAACCCAATTGTTGCCCTAAGCTGCTCACAAGTTCCAAAGCTCCCACAAACTAAGCCACGTTAAACAGACTATGAAGCAGTGAGGAGACACAGCCTGGCCTTCCTACGACCCTCGGAGCACTGTCTTGGCTCTTCTTGTGTGAAGAGAAGTGACATGAAAGTAACTGTGGGCGAGGGCGCTTTCTTTTCTCCGTTTTGCTGTGTTTTGTTGAGACAGGTCTCATCTGCAGCTTAAGCTAGACTTGAACTTGCAATGGCTGCCTGCTCCCGAGTGCTGGGTTACAGGCATGAGCACCATCCTGCTTCAAGCGAGGTCCTAAGGTACCGTGGGGGATGCTCCAGCACTGACGGAGGCAGACAGCCGCCACAGCTCAGCTCCTTCCTGGGACATCCCTGGAGGGGAGTGGAGAAGGGACAGTCTCCCAGAAATGGCTGTATGTGTAGTAACATACCAGTTCATGGCTGGAACCAATGGGTTGGGGCTAGATAGCCAGGGACTTAGGAGGAAGGAAGAGGCTTTGGATATCTCTCTCTGACTGGAAGACGTTGTGGACCAGGTGCATGACGAGGGCTTTAACAGCCAAGCCAACAGAATGGGAAGTCTATGGAGAAAAGTCCGCACACCCCGACACTGACCAACACACACGATTCTTTTCGCTACTTCATTTTCTAACCAGCTAAATCTTGTAAAATTTCCAGATCTCCAAATAACACATTGTATTCAGACAGTCTTACTCTGCATCTCCCCAGAGAGCATAAACAATCATTCCTCAAGTTAGATCACTCCCCTGCCCCTGCATTTTCCACTCCAGAGCCACCATTACCATGATAACAATATTTCCAAGGCAGAAACAGAACTAGAGTCTAGGCTCCTCACTACTAAAGGCTTTAATAGCTCAATCAGGGTGTCCACGCTTTCCTTGCCCTGAGCTATCGAAAGCTACTCTGAGCGCATGCAGAACTTGGTAACATTCACGACACGGGAAAACTGGTCCGTCAATCAAACAGAGGTAGAGGTTTGGGACGACGTTCAAATACAGACGAGGGGTACTTGATTTTTGTCTACAGAAGGTTCCAGTTTCTTTATAAATGTTTCCTTACCAAATTAAAGGCCCCCGTGCCAAGCTTGACGCCGCCTTCAAACTCATAGAAGAAGTGCTGCTCCTGCTTGTTCTTCTGAATGACGTGCAGGATGGAAAGGCACTCTCTAGGTTGAGAAAGAAGATGAGCATCAGTTTCCTGGGACTCTAACAAACCAATGCTAAATCAAGTTATACACTATAAATATACAAATTGCATTCTATAAATGTCATTACAAAGATGCAAAATATGACTGTGGTGGCATTTCATTTGTATTTGAATAAATAAAGCCTGCCTGAAGATCAGAGAGTAAAACAGCCCCACTGATCAGTCTTACGGACCAGGTAGTGGTAACACACACCTCTAATCCCAGCAGCCACACTAGTTGCCATAGAAACCGGGCAGTGCATGCCTTTAATCCCAGCCCTAGAGAAAATTATAAAATGGGAGGAGACAGCTGTCAGGTAGAGTCTCATTCTAAGATTCTTAGAGGCAGGATAGCTATTTCAGACTGAGTTAGAGGTAAGAGCCAGTGGCTGGCTGTTTTGCTTTTGGGACCTTCAGGTTGAACCCCAATTTCTCTCTCTGAGTTTTTATTAATCGTGCTTCATATGATTTTAGCCACTCTGCTCCCAAAGCTCCTGGGTAATTCCCACTAAGGAGAAAGGGAACACCCATTTGTATGGTGTTTAGGGGATAGTGTTTGTACGCTTAAGGAAAAAGAGGGATCAACCATCGGCAAGCTCAATTTAGGAGTCACAGAATCTCAACCTTACAGCTTCCCTGGAACATTTTCAGGAATACTTCTGGAGTGTTTAGGTCTCCACTGCTGTGAACACTTCACAGCCCTGCCCACCACCTTGAAATTCAGGTGCTGCAGGCAAAGATTTCAATTCCCTGCAGCTGCCACATCAGAGCTTGCCGAGCCTGTAGCATCACAGCTGCACCGTTCCCTTTGCAGATGCAAAAGGGTGTGAGGAGGGGGTGCTGGTGGGGGTGGGTGCTGCTGGTGGTTCTGGTGGTGGGTGCTGGTGGTGGGTGCTGGTGGTTCTGGTGGTGGGTGCTGCTGGTGGTGGTAGTGGTGTCTGAACCCCAGGCTCTCACTCGCTAGGAAAGGGCTGCTAAGCTACATCCCCAGACCCCAGACCATCTTCAAAAGACAAACAATCAAAGGCATGTAAAAAAGTAAGTGGTAACTGCCAGCTGGACTGGGAAACAGCCCTTTGAGAAGGGAACGCGGAGGAGGTGTCTCAGTGACAGGACACCTGTATATTGTCCCCAAGGCCCCACGTTCCACTCCAGTGCCACAGGAGCAACACAACAAAATCATAAGGTGTAACCAGGTATCTCCTATCGCCAATGTAACGCAACGTGTAAAGCACAGGACACTTTCTAGCCAAATCTAGCAAGCTCAGAGCTAACCTGGTTTTTAAGCAGTATTAACTGACTAGAACTAATGTGATTCAGATCCTTCCAACTTAGCCCATACTGTTGTCTGCCCTGAGCCACATTCATTTTCTCTAAAATAAACAAACAAAACAAAACAAAAAACAGACATGGTGGCACATGCTTGCGACCTTAGCACTCAAGAGGCTGAAACAGGAGGATTTCCAGGAGTTCAAAGTCAGCCTGGGTTACTGTGTGAGTTCAAGGCCAGTATGGGCTACAGAGTGAGAGCCCGTCTCAAAGCAGACAGAGATTAAGGGGACATGGCAGCTACGTGTGAATCTCAGATTAGACCTCGAATAAAGGGAGCATTGATGAGACAGCTGGACACTGTACAGGCACAGATGTCAGTTTAATAACTGAGCTGTGATTATGCAGTACATATTTGTGCATCTAAGTGAAAGATCCATGAAAATCATTTATAATGAAAGATATCTCTAAAAGAAATGTTTTAAAAATTAATTATATATGTTTATGTCTGCATGTGGATGTGTTGCTGTGTGTAGAGGTACCCGAGAAGACCAGAGGCATCGGATCCTTGGGACCGGGAATTACAGGCAGTTGTGAACTGCCTGATGTGGGTGCTAGGACCTGAATTTGGTCCACTGCATTAGTAGTAGGAACACTTAACCACAGTCATTGCAGCTCTCACAGTGGAAAATTTTCATGGAAGGTTAAAAGCTGATTTTAAACGAAAATCGAGCTTTTTATTTTGTAGGATGAGTGTATCTGTTAAATCTGAATAGATATATAAAAATTATAATAACAAATTATTTCAATGTAGAAAATTTTCATTTAAGTTTAAAAGGGTTTTTTTTTTAGCGTGAGTGAGCGTGTGTGTGTGTGTGTGTGTGTGTGTGTGTGCACGCATACACACACAATTTGCCTCTGATTGCTTGGAACTGAAATCATGGGGAATTTGTGAGTCACCCAGTGTGGATACTGAGATCCAAACTTTAGTCCTGTAACAAATCAGGAGGTAGCACTTAACACCCAAGACATGTCTCCTTCCCCAATCTTTTAATTTTAAGATCATAAAATATTACCCTATGTTCTTTCCTAATATCTTAAAATTTTTAAAAATACTAAATCTTGTTAAAATTTATTTTTGTATTAATGATGGGCTTTTTGTTGTTGTTGTTTTGTTTTCTGTTTTGTTTTTCAAGATGGAGTTTCTCTGTAGCTTTGGAGCCTGGCCTCGAACTCACAGAGATCCTCCTGCCTCTGCCTCCTGAGTGCTGGGATTGAAGGTGTGCGCCACCGCCCGGCCAGTGGTGTATTTTTCCCCTTGAAACAGTTTTCCAAGAGATATTCATCTAAAGTGTTTCTCTTTCCCCACTGTTTTGAAAGGATTCATGTGTAAACAGGAGTTTAGTAGTGTGAACTTCTAGCTAAACATCTGTGTGTATAAGTACTTGCACGCACACACACACACACACACTCACACACACACACACATAAAATCCCTGTCACTGTAGTGATAAAGGTGGTCTTCGTTACCATAGGACGATTTAAATTTGTATTTTAAAGTTTCGATGACTGGAAAAGCAACCAACTCTTTAATCTTCTAAAAAATACTTGGAAAGGAAATTTAAAAACATAAGGCCAGGTTTCCCAAATCAGCTTCCTCTTGTAATATTTTCCTTCTTCCTTTCTTTTTTATGGATTCCAGGTTTACATAATGACTACTGGTAAAAGCTCCTCTTGCAGGACTGATTGGGTGTTTCTGGTGATGGGATTTGTTCCCGGTAATGGCAGGAAGCTTATGTGAGATTTGCTTTCCCACACATAACAATTTTAAACCCTGAAAAATACACAAAAATATATTTAAAATATTTCTGCAGGCTTGGAAACTGAGGGTGGAGTAGGCAGACACTGGAGAAGAGTTAAATTCGAAAGCAGGAAATAGCTCACGAATTCACTTTCTATCCACGTGTCTGTGCCTGACTCCTACGGGGCGCACAGAACACCATCAGGAAGCCACAGACGCCCTGTGCTGAAAGTCAGAAGACAGAGTTTGAGTCAGCTAGAGGGGCTGGGTGGATATGAGGGCATTTCCACAGGTGAGAGATGGGAACTCTCTACTGGTAGGAACACTGAAGTCTTGGCTGACCCATCAGCCATGTGACGAGGGCAGGGTCCAGAGGCAGCAGGAGAAGACAGCAGAGGTGCAGGCGTGATGTCCTACAACAGTAAGAATCCAGAACCCAGGTCTAAGCAAATGAATTGCTTTCCAGAACAGAGCTTGGTACACTTCAGAAGAAGGATGAAAGAATCCAGAGTCTCTACAGATATTATCAGGATCTAGCATTCAATTTAAACATCATTCCATGGGAAAACATGGCACACAGTGAACAGAAAAGTAATGAAAAGAAACTAATTCCAGTTCATGTCATCACCCACATGTTAGGTCTAAGTTAAAATTTAAAACTATATGTAGCTTGCTAAACACAATCAGACTGACTAGTGTGCAATTAGAAGCTCAGAGAAAATAAGTGAGAAAAGATGCAGAGAAAAAAAAAAACAACAACAACTTTGAGGAAATAATGGCCATAAAAGCCAAAGCCAAAACCACACTCAAAATGCTGAACTATGCAGATACAACATGTTCTTCAGGAGACAGACAATGGCTCATTAGATCCAGGAAACAATTACACACACGGCAGAGGTCTCAATCACACAAGCACTGATGCAACAGTGTGGTGGTTTTAAAGGGCTGAAAAACAAGCACCCTAACAACTCTGAATATTAGAGTTAGCAAGAATGTCCTTGAAGGTGAAAGCCAAAATAAGCAGGTTTGCAAATAAATGAAAACGGAAGAAAAATGCTGAAAGTTGATACTAGGAGAAAAGCTAAGGAAGTTCATCAGCAGGCGAGTAAACAGAAACGACGCCGAACACAGTGGTGAGCAGACCAGAGTGAGACACAGGACTCTAAAACAAAAAGCTGATGCTGTGTTATGGGTTTAATGATGCTCATATAGAACACATCGTAATAGTTAAAAGGCTGTCCTGTTGATATGTTAATAATTAAAATGGTCAGCTTGACACAGCCTGGAGTCTCCTGAGAAGGGAGTCTCCATTGAGGGATATAAATTAGACCGGCCTGTGGGCAAGTCTGCGAGAATGATTACTAATTGCTTTAGGAAGAAGCAGTCCACTGTGGGCAGCATCATTCCCTGGGAAAGTCGTGGGCTGTGTAAGAAAGCCGAGCATGAGCCTATGTGTGAGCCAGCACACAGTAAACATGGTTTCTGCTTCAAGTTCTTGCTTGAGATCCTGCTCACCTTCCCTCAAAGATGGACATTGCTTGGAAGTGTGAGCCAAATAAGCCCTCCCCTTCCCTAAGTTGTTTTTGGTTTGAGGATTTTATCACAGCAGGAAAAATGAAGCCAAAACAAGGTCAACCAGTAGCAAAGGAAACTTTTTACAAAGCTCTGACATTTTACACATAATAGTACGTAGTAACTCTACGCTAACTCTAATAAGCAAAGAAGGATGTTATAACCACTATAGTAACCATAAAAAAATAGAGACACAAAATCATAGCAGAGTTTTAAAAAGTGTTTATTAAAGCAAGCCAAATGTAATGGCACGTGCTTGTAATTCCAGCACTCCAAAGTCTGAGGCAGGAGAATCAGAGGTTTAAAGCCAGGCTGTGCTATATAGTGAGTCTCAAGAAAACAATACATAAAAAAAAACAGCACAAATACAAAATATACAAATAATTCTTAGGAGAAATAAGTAAAGGTTACCTAACCAGAAACTGTGTCTCCCCATTTTCTCTTTCAATATTTGCTCTTGGAAATGTATGTAAATTTAGAACTCTCTGTCCTACAGCACCAAGTCCACTCAGGCAAGAGTCAAGTGATTTACCAACATCAAATGAAGAAATCTAGCCATACTGGGGTCATAAGAATTTGGAAGAACAAAATTGTACAGCCCAAGAATCAATCTATTTAAAAGCCAATCTTAAGTGTGGTGACACTTGGGAAGCTGAGGCAGGAAAATCAAGAGTTCCAGGCTGGCCGAGGCTATAGAATAAGAGCCTGTCTTCAAAAATATTTAACTGAATTTCAATTTAAGTCACATTTTACTTTGTAACTTACTTATATATTTGGTAACTTGTTCTAATTTTGAGTCCACCTTTGATGAAGTTGATCATATTTTCATCCTGAAAATAATACAATTAAATAATTAGAGCATTTAGGGGGAAAGTTAAACAGTATGTATTTGTATAATGATAAAAAGTGTGTGTGTGTGTGTGTGTGTGTGTGTGTGTGTGTGTGTGTGTGTTTACTGGGAATGGAACCTACAGCACTACCACTAATCAGCATCCCTAGTCCAAAACGTATTTTGAGCACACACTTTTGAAATTGGCATGAGTCTTGCTTTACATTTGAAATGTTTGCATTACCTTGTATTTCTTTTTCCCTTTTTAAGAGTTATTTATTTATTATGTACACAGTGTTCTGCCTGCATGTGCGCCTGCAGGTCAGAGGAGGGCTCCAGATCTCATTATAGATGATTGTGAGCCACCATGTGGTTGCCAGGAATTGAACTAGGACCTTAAGAAGAGCAGGCAGTGTTCTTAACTGCTGAGCCATACCTTGTATTTCTAAAGGAGTAATCCTCACAAATTTGGGGCCAAATGTAGTCCAAAGCTGAGCATCTACTGAGCGACACTCTCTCGGGGGCAGTGGTATCCAGAACACTTGGCTACACAAATCCGCTTTAAGGCCAAACTTTCCTATCCATCCTCCCCAGTAAATGGGATAATGATTCTTCTTTCAGCGATTCTTGGACAAGCAGTCTACTCAACATTGTAAATTTTAATCCTGTAAATTTGCAGACCAAAAAACACTGATCTAAATTCTGAAGCGGTTGTCACTAATATGCAATTTGGGGGTAGGGGATCATTTTACTTCTCTCTGCCTGAGGGTTATCCATCATGAAATTGAGGCAGTTGGCCTAGATGAATGGCATTTTCAGAACCAGCATTCTAAAAGAGTCTCCTAATAAATTATACCCAATAGTCCACTGAAGGACATTACGCTAATGGCGCCGACAAAGACGAACCCATGCTCCACACTTCTAAGGAGACTGGCGAAAGAGAAGCTGTGTTAGTTTACGATTCTCATTAGCTACTTGAATGTTTAACATTCCCATTAACATACAAGTCAGTAAATACAAAATCCACTACACAACTTAAGTGCTTACACTCTTATTTAAGAACTCTTATATTTACAGAGGTTCAAATACGGGTAGAAAGAAATTTCTTGGGTTAAAGTCTGATTCAAGTAAGGGTATTTCATTTCGTGATTCAGCAAACACTGACCAAATGCTTGTTTTGTGCTGGGCACCTGAATGCAAAAGCAACATGATGTGCTAAGTGACTAGGCATGCGCAGTGATGGAGACACACACAGACGTCAAGAGAAAGAACACAAAGTGGGCATGACATCAGCCAGAAAACCCTCCTGAAGCGTTGGTGTTTAACACCAAGAAAGGACAAGGGATGACTAGGTGAAGGAAGGCAACGCAGTCCTAAGTTTGCATGCAAAGGAAAGCTGGACACAACAGGGAGCAGTGAAGGCCATGCTGGCATCTGCATGTACAGAGATGAGAGCTAACACTCTGGCATCTGCATATATGGAGATGACAGCTATTGAAGAGAAGGAAGGAGTCAAGGAGGAGGGAAGCTGCCTTGATCCCCGTGCCTAGGGTTAGCACCTGAGGACAACCCTAAGAGGAGAAGCAGGGGATTTAGGGGGAGGCACTAGTGCAGCGTGGAAACCCCTACCCAATTTGTGATATTCTGATAGAGAACACGGACAGAGTCCATGAAAGCCATGAAATGCAGAAACAGAAAATAACAAGGCGAGACTCTCATTTCTGATAGTCCTCAATCACAGAATGCAGGATGAACTAAAAGTAAAAAGAAACCAGAGACAGAGTCACTCAACTGCTGTACAATCAATTCAGCAAAAGCTGATGAGCACCTCTGCAGGAGCAATGACAGTGGGAGCACAGAGGAAGAGGTGAGCTGATGAGCACCTCTGCAGGAGCAATGATGATGGGAGCACGGAGGAAGAGGTGGAGCTGGTGAGCACCTCTGCAGGGG